CTACTCATCAATCCTCTCAGTCGCACCAAACTACGTCTGGGTCTTAATACTTCGGTTAATCACTGGAATGTTTGTTGTTGGTGTTCAGTCTTCCTTTATGCTGTATCTAGGAGAGATTGCACCTTCTAGCTTTAGAGCACTCTTCGTTCTTGGACAAGTGGTAAGAATTGGATAGAAAGTCCTTAAATAAAGAGATTGAAACATTTAAACAAATAACTTTTATTTTGATTTCCAGGAATGCATAGGTAAAGTCAAGCACACAACGGGGGACTCAAATCAGAGAAAGTCATGTTTAACATTAACAATTTACCACTTAAAAGCTGCATTTTTTCGTTAATTTGAAAAGGCTTGAATTTTCATCAATATAAAAAAGCAAAGTGTTTTAGTGACAAAAATACTTGCTAGTATTGAGGTAGCCTGTTGTTTCCAATAACATCAATAGAGTTTGTTGTGAACAACATTGGAAAAAATGTCAGTAAAGATAAAATGTTTGACATAGAACATGGCAGTCATAAACCTCAGTGAAGTTTTTTCAGAACATGTTTATAGAACTAGGTATTGCAATGGTATCTTTTGTGGGCATGCTGGGTTATGTGTTTTATCTTCAGACAAAATGCATCACAAAGGCAAAGCGTCAACACACCTGTGTACATCTGTGCAGATTCTTCCTATTTTCATAATTTATGTCAGTTTATTCCAAATGCTTGGAATGATGCATGTATCTGGTCTTTGTGGATTGTAAAAATAAATGGCCCATGACTTAACAGTCATGCAGGTCCTGCATATAGGCAGTTTGGATGGACAGATATGTCAGTGTACCAAATGAAAGATTCTGTGAACAGGACCTTTGACACAGTGCTTGTAAGAAGACCCAAAATATATGATATTTGGATTATTCTATGAATATGGTGTCAGGTGATTTTGTGTCCCTCTCACATCTGGCATATGGTTTTTATCTTGCATTATCAAATCTGATTGGTCGATTCATGACAACAAACAGTGTGACACATAACACAGTCCATGTCAAACCATGCAATGCACTGTTCTAACTCCATGACATGCACTATTTTTATGCTAAAAGCAAAAAGCACAACTGCAAAATTTACTGTAACATCTGTACTGTGCATCATGTTTGCTTGAAGATAAATTCATTATCACGCTTGCACTTCTGGAAGACAGAATAATGTAGAGCTACTTTCTTTCATTCAACTTAATCATAAATTGAAATCTCTCTTTCACACACAGTCATCCAAATAATAGCTGATAAATAACCATCAAAACTAACAATTTACATGCTTTAAATCAATCTGTTTCTTTGTGTCTCTCTTCCAAACTAAATATTTTCTCTTAATATCTTTTTTTTTGAGCTTTCGTGCTTTTGGTACTTGTAATCATCCGTTGTCTCATTAGCAGAAATGAATGGTATCTCAGAGTCATTTTACCCTTGGTTTTTCTTCTGGACAGCTTTTCTTTGGTATCGGCAGTGTCTATATTGCCACGTTAGGTTATCTTGTTCTCCCAGCTCTGGGTTGGAGAGTCCAATGTCTCTTTGCTGCTCTGCCAATCCTTCCAGTCATGATCGCATCCTGGGTAAGTTATATCTGAAATCCTCATTCCCTTTGTTCCATTCTTTATTGGATCATACATAAGTCTGTATAATTTAATTTTCACAAATGATAACTCTTTTTAATATGATATCTCTTAAAGAATGGATTAAATGCATTTCTGACTTAATTTGGAATATTTCTGTAAACATAAGGACCATGAAAAATTGACTAAGACAAAGTCATAGAAATACTTCTCGTGGGTTTTTTAAAGGTGTTATTTCGTGTGTGTGTTTTTTCTTTTTGGAGATGGGAAGAGAGGGCAGCAGAAATGCAATGTGATATGTTTTCTCTACAGTATTTTCCGGAATCTCCGCGATATTTTGCCTTGACTGGCAGCATAAAATCAGCCGTTGAAACCATGAAGAAAATTGCAGCTGGAAACAAGAAAGAATTACCTGAAGGGAAGTTGATACAAGCCACTATCAGTGACAAGGTGAGTGGTAGATAGAGTGACACATTGGAAGATACATGAAGATGAGAAACAAAAAAAGAATAAAAATTAATAATAATAAATACAGCATTTATGATGCGCACATCTGGAAAGTACCTTTCAAAGGCACAGGTCTGGGAAAGTTAAAGATGGAAAGCAAGATTGAAAAGATGTGTTTCAAATGGAGCTTGAAGTGTGAGGGATTCGTTTCATCCCTCAAGTCTTCTGACAAGGAATTCCAGAGATAAAATTCACCTATAAACGGCAGGTTTGACGTAATTTAACATTATGACAGTTGTTTGCATCCACACTGATAAAGAACTCTTTTTGAAGGGTAATAAATTAGAATTTGTTTCCCCACAATTTTTAGGAGGAGAGAAGTTCTGTTTTTCAGCTTTTGAGCCCAGAACTGAGCAGACAGACTGTGATGTTATGGTTGATATGGTAAGAGAGTCTCATAGCATGGCTGTTAATAGGGGTAACCGAGTGATTATTTATTGTTAGAGATCACAGTATAAAGCATGGCTTTGCAACGGAACTGTGACCATAGGATGGATTGAAAATGACTGGATTTCTATATTATGTCTGGCATGTTGTTTTTACCAGGAAAGTATTCAGACAAGGAAAGATACATACATGAAATTAGTTATCTGTGCATTTAACATATGCAGTGTTTATATAAAACATGCTTTGTTTTTGTTAGCAGCTGAACATCATGTAACTTGTTAAAGGTCAATTGAGCCACCTACCTTGATACTGAGAGCCACAATATAAACTGTCTATCATAGCAAGTGTCCTAATTATTGCAACAAAACTATGAAACAGACATCAGCAACTCTTACATATCTCATTGTTCCTTTTATTAACTTGCTTCAGGTTCTGTGTGTATTTCTGCTACCTGGGCATCGCTTTATCCAGCGGCCGATTGATTCGTATCACCTCCCCACTTCCACCCAGCGCAGAAAACGAGTCGTTAGCTCATGATCTCAACCTCAATCGAAACTCAACACTCTTTATTCCACCCGAGTCAGCAGATGATAGCACCGACAATTCTGAGACTGATATCGCTGCACTTAATGTTGAAGATACTTTGGTAACAGAATTGGACGTTACTGTCTGATATTACTTAATAATAAAAAAATCAAGAAGCATCTGTTCTTTTTATGTTTTCCTCAAAAACATCAAGTTTGTATTTTGCTTTTAATAGAGGACTTTGTGACATGAGTTATCTTGGTTTTATTTAGCTGGATCCCTCTCATCCACAAATGACTTCCGCGACTTGTGCTGAGGAGGACATGGAACCAGTCGAATGTGAAGTGGTTGTGTCAAACTCAGAATATATTGATTCTGTGGTTGCTTCCATTGGGGACTTCATGGGTAGGATGCTAAATTTATGTTTTTTCATGTCATTCTTTACTAAAAATTTGATTTAAATTAACCATTTTATCTTTTTTCTCTTTCAGCAGCATGAATTTGTCTCATCAATTATCATCCTTTATCACTACCGTGCTACATGTAAAATTTATCCTGTTTTCCACGTTTATATTACCCACTAATCAACTTTGAACTATGACTCAACATTGATCAAGTTGAGAGAAATATGGAAGGGCTGCTTACCCTGAATAGGGTACTCAGTTACCGAAAGCTCGGCAATCACATATTCCAGAGCACTGATTTTATATTATATTCTTGTCAATATATTCATCAAGTTGATATACTTACTGATATATAAAATTGCAAATTGATACATAAAATTTTATTATGACACGTATGAGTACTTTTCACCTACAATCAGGTTGACATTATTCCTAGATCTGATTTCTGTTCCATTTTATTTCCTTGTCCAGGGGCGCCTTGTATTGTGGTCCTTGTTTACACTTTTGGTCGGAAGGGAGGCATGAGCATTTCTCTCATTCTTGCCGCTTCCTTCATGCTCTGCATTATCGTCACTCTCGGCCAGTAAGTCCAACATTTCTTTGCACATTAATCAGAGGGCTGTGCTTTTATCCATCCCACTCAATGTCTATTTTAAACAGGCTGCTAAATGAGTCAGGCATCAAAACAAAGACCTCAATTGGTTTTCTCTAATTCAAACTGAAAAAAAGGTCTGACAAAGACTTCTTTTATGTGATCCACTTATATACGTGTATCTTAATATCTTTCCCAGTATAAAGCACCAGGGGTGTGTTAGAAATTGTGTTAAGTTGTATCAGTAAAGTTTCCTTTATCTTTTAGGATTCCACCTTTAGCTTTCCTCTTCCTGGCTCGTGCTTTGACCATGGGAACATATGGTGGATTGTTTCTCTATACATTGGAGGCTTATCCAACATCTACCAGATCCATTGCCTTGGCAACAGGACAATTCTTTGCCAAAGTGGCTGGTGCACTTACGCCTTTTGTGGCAGAGGTGAGCAAGTTAAATATTTATACCAGACAAAATGCAAAAACAGAATTTTTAATTATGAATTCCATATCAATGAATGCTGTCATAAAATGGAAGAGTAATGTCCAAATACTTTACAAGTATCAGGAAATTTTAAAGTATTCCCTTCCACCATAACTCCATCTTCAGAAATAATTCTCATTGAAGATACTCTTCTTGTAAGCTTTAAAATGAACTTTTTCTTGAATTTGTTGATTTTGTTTTATTTTTGTTCGTTTCAGAGCCTCATCAAGCGATATCCTGTTGATGCCATTCTTATCTATTTCTTTGTCTGCATCACTGGGTCCATTACATTGTGCTTACTCCCTCTGGAAACACAAGGCATGGGGTTAAAGGTCAGATGTTTTCACAGTTGTTCTATTTGTTCAGATTACAATAAAACGTGGTGGATAAAAAAATAAAAGCAAACACATAATTCAATCAAACGATATGATTTATTTTGGTACAGGACATTTAGTTTTCAAAATGGTATTTCTGACAGTAGTTTAGTTTTTTTATTTGCATATTCATTCACAGTGCCGTCTCTTTTTTCCACAGGATTCTTGACGAACAAGGAAACAAATGCAGAGAAATGTCTTCGTTTTGTGTCATTTATTATAGAAGCCATTTGAATGAAGTTTTGCTTGGCTTGTTATATAATAAACAATAAGCACAAAAACAGCAACATTTGAAGGATCTAGAAATTTCTGTGCACAAATCAGTGCAACGTTGAAATATTGCAGGATGTAAGAAGCGTAAGTAGTGAAGTATTTACTGCAAGACAAATGAATCTGTAAGTGACAACATTGAAAGCAATTTGTAATCCTTTGCTTGTACGATTTAAGAAGTATTTGTAGCTTGCATATTCAGAGTATTTGGAAAATTAAATTAACATATTTTTGAAGATATTTTGTAATTTGTAGGTGATTTTGTTTTTAAGAGGTATGTCTGGTTGTGAGCATGCTGTAATTAATAAATGCACAATTGATATATTTTAAAGGTTTTAAAAAGTATCCAGTAAAGTTTTAATAGTCAGACAGATCTATATGCAGATCCCGTTTGGAACTGAAATGAAAAAGAATTAATGTTTTGTTGCACCAAATATTATATATTTAGGGTCATACCGAACAAATTATAATAAATATGTTCATTCTGAAAACAAATTACTTGTATTGGGAATTTGTTGAGTCCAAGTATAGTACTGGTATATGGGCACACAGTGAAATGGCCAAAAAACATCAAATCAAGAACATCTTGGGAAAATCTTCAAGTTAAAAATTTGATCAGTCTTTTCCATGTTTCATGATAGTGAAGTTTTTGTTTAGGTTAGGACAGAGATGCATTTTTTTACTTTCCTTTTTGGTTGTAGTTGGGTGAGAGTTCAATACTAATCCTGAAAAACTTAAAGGGTCAAAATATTTCTGGTTTGATTTCAACCGCAATATAACATAGCAGGTCCGCTGAATTCCAAACTTTTAACCAATCAATGCAATATCTTGAAGCTGCTCATTCAGATGTGAGCGGCGCCCTCTGTTGAGCAAGGAAAACAAAATGGCAGCTCCCGTAAGATAAGAGCGCGTATTCAAATCATCGTCTGAACGTAACAAAATTGAGGGCTTCAATGATGACTTTATCAACGCAGCAAAGTGAAGAGGATTCGCAGTATATTCTTGTGGCGAAGGCAGACAATGCAAGGAATGTGTCAAACGTCCTAAAGGCGGTTCATTTTAAGGATAAAGAGGTACATACATGTATAATTTAGCACTGCATAGGCCTAACCTACATACGTTGTACTAAATCATGGAGCGTTGACCGATCCCGTCCAAAATCGAAAAAGTGGAATACTAATGCTCCACTGATCTACCTCCATGCTCCACTTAATTAATTAATTGAGCTAGGCCTAACGTAACTTAGGCTACTTTTTCCACCTTGTCCGTATCAGCTGTGGACATTGTGCAGTGACTGATGCACTGAGTCTAAGTCATCATCAAATCATAAGACCGATTAAAATTAATTCCTTGTTTATCAATATCATCACTCAAAGGTATATTTTGGGGCCAGGAGGACCTTTGATATTCCATATTCCAATGCAGAATAAATTGCAGAATACCCGCCACCCCACATGATCAACCTCATAGTCATAGCCAGGTACAAGTCAAAGTGTTACACTCTTCTTAATTAATTAAGGGATTTTTACCTTGTATCCACGTAACCAGTCATTCCAGGGGTCGTTTTTTGGAGTGGTGAGATATTCTGCAATTACTCCTCAATATTTGATATTTCAAACTAGTATTTTCCTGTGTGTCCAGACTTTTCAGTAAACTAAAACTTTGCTAACATCCTTTAGGCCCCTACACATGTACATTACTTGGTTCCGATATTATTGCGGTATTGGAAATTTTGAATTTTGCATTGCCAGTGAGTTTATAATCGGCAACATTCACCCAAGACATACTATGGCCTGAGGATAAGTTTTATGAAAACAGAGAAAAATTCTGCATGTTTCCTTAAATTTTGATAATTTCAATAAAACTAAAAGATGTGAATTTTCCGAAATTTATAAATCCTCCTTGACCATGTCTGTCATTACATGTACTTACTGTCTGTCTCTTTAACAGTTATTTCTAATGCCACCCTGCCCTTGCTGGGTTCCTATATGTCAATTTCAAAATGGCCAAAGGTGTCTAAATCCTGTAAAGGAAAATTTAACTGCAAAAATGCCCATTTTTTTCAGAGTCAAAATAAGGGCTTCCGCGTTGAAACACCTTTACTTTTTGCATGCGTAAAGTGCGTGCCCCAACTCCATTACAATAGACTTGTATCAATCATACTTTTACCCTCCACGCCCAAGGCATTGAGCGAATAATTACATCGGCATTATTGTTGCAGTTTTTTGCTTTTCTTATACAATTTGAAGAATTTTGCAACGGATATTTAGAATTTGTAGCATAAATTTTGAATAAAATAGTTCAGGTTTAATGAGATGGTTATAACTCTCGGAGAATTAGAACTAAGAAAGGAGATGTCTTTAACAATTGTTTCAGACATCGATAAGAGAATGAGTCCTCCAAGAAAATGAAATCTGCAATACCCACATATTTATTATTCCTTTGGTAAAACACCAATTTAAGTAATAAGATGAATGTCAAAGTTGTTGCTACATTTAAAAAATGAAGTCATTCCTTTCCGGATGAATAAGGGAAAGGTGACAAAATGTAATTGTTCCCATCTTGTTCTCTCAGCATTGGGCATCTTTAAGAAGAAGACTGGAAAAATTGAGTCAATTATATGGAAAATGGAACATTATCACAAAATGAGGGTAATTCGTTTCCTCTGAAAAAAAATCATTCTTTTTATCTTTATTTATTCATAAACAAAGGCCATCGTAGAAATCATTTCTTGATACTGACATAATTCAGACTACACCTGCACTTGCATACGGTGTTCATACAGATTTTCTGAGCCATCGTAGAGGAAAAGAAATTGAACCACAAACAAGATGTTATGAATCAAGTTAAAAAGTAAGAGTTTAAAACAATAGCAAGGATAGGATAATTCAGGAAGATGAGCAAGCAATCTTTATTTTAGTTCGGAAATGTGACAACTACTGCAGTAATACAGTAACCCATCCTACCTACAATTTTGTAATACTTGAGTGTTCCGTAACAGCATGTTCAGATCAATCAGTCATGGTTGAGGACAAGACTAGAGAATTAAACAACAAAAACACGACCATTTCTGTGGTGCAGACACATCTGCAAAGTTGAAAAGGGCCGGAAATTTGTTTAAAAATTGGAAATATCAAAAGAAGTCGGGGCGGTAGGGAAAATCCAGTCAGGCATTGATGCTAAACAAGGAATTAATTCTTCTTGGCCTAACATTGGCACAGCACCCCATACTCCTTCTAGTGGGTATGTCATGTTCCCAGTTTCAAAAGAAACAAAGAGTTTTTTTTTAGCTGTCATCCCGTCACACAGTACTTCTTGTTGGCACTAAATTTAATACCATATTAGGGAGGCTGAAAAATTTTCAATTATTTTTTCTGTTTTATTTGTGAAGTTTATTTATAGTGAAGAGGGTGTCATAAGAAGTCTTTTGATATAAATGTGGATTCCATCGGACTCTGCAAAGCAAAGAAAAACCAATTTGAAGCGGGAATGTTTTGAGATGTTTTTTGTACACATGTAATGCAAAGCAAACTGTGATTATTTTGTACACAAAATGAGAGTGGATTTTAAGTCATAAGCTCAAAATTCATACTTTAAAATCTTTGTTCTTATTTGTGCCTGATTTCAATGAATCAAATGCTGGCTTCTCTTCAAATTTCAAAACATTTGCTATTGGAAATTGAATAGAGAAGCTACAGCATGCAAAAAACATGCATTTTAATCAAGATTTTTTTTTTAAATATGAGTTCCCAAATAAACAGCACCCTCATTAATTTATTCATGTCCCTAACCATATTCTTGAAAAAATGTGCCAGAGTCACATACCACAAAAAGAACATGAGCAAAGAACTGAAGTGACATGTTGTGCAATTTAATTTGAAATTTGGTTCAGAACATCTAAGGACTGTTTTAGATAGGGAAAAAAATTGTAATTTGACAGTGTAGCCTGGCTGGAAGTCTGTACTGCAATCACGTGCTCTCTTCGCTTATCATCCAGTGAGGGAGAGTGGCAGATGATGCTCTCAAGGCCAACTCAGTAACCACTGAGCCCTGTGCTCACTCGATTTCAGTGGGGGAATAGAGAAATTAGATAATGTTGTTTAGTGCTGGCTGGTTAAATGAAGTTAAGTTAAATTGAAATACAATTAAAAAACAAGCAATAAGAACAAGAAATTTAATTCAAACTTTTTATAACACCTCACCCACAGATTTTGTATCTTCGATGTCCAAAGTGTGTCATGTGGCGCTGGCTACATGTAGTTTTGCTATTTTTGTACCACTATTTCAAAAAGACTATACATATGAAGCCTTCCTCTGAAAAAGGACTATACCTGTAGCAACCAAAGAACTATACCCGTAGCAACCAAAGAACTATATCCATAGCAACCAAAGAACTAAAGGAACGAAACCATGAATAGTACCCAGGCATGTATTCTGGCTCACAGCATGAGCCTGTGGGTGAGGTTTGATAAAAGAAATACTGACTGCTTCATCTCTTGGTACAGTAAAATTAGTCTGCCTTGGTGTTCCAGAGAGTATTCTGTTTTCATTCGGCTTCGCCTGGGGAAAAAAGAATGCTCCATGGATCTCCTTGGGAGGCTAGTTCAACTGTACATCTTGAAGCAGTTAATATTTTTATACCATATTTTACTGAACCAGCTAGCAACAGTCTTTGCCAGTGAAAATGGACTCAAAGTGACTGTGGAGGATTCCAAAAGCGTTCAGGCAAATGCTTTCATTCAAGCTGGAATCTTCCAGGAATACGTCATCCAAGAGCAGTCTGCTACATTCATGGTCAACCTCACAATCTTACTGGTAAGAAAACTGATACTAGTGAAAGGATATGCAGATGTGTGATCTTTTTTTTAAAACCTAACTCTGAACCGCTGACCCCTGTCTGCCTTACCAGACATTTTTCTTGAGTCATTAAAATGCAAAAGTTTCCATTAAGCCAGTGGCACTTTCTTTAATGCTGGTAAGGACTGCAGGACGCTAGCTGTGTGCAATAGAGGTACATGTAGCTATATTCATTGACCTCCAGGCTTTGAAAATGTGCTGTTGGGGTTTAGTTGAAACTGTTACCAATCCATGTATGTGATGTACAATCCAGCTAAGAACACCCTGCACCATTGCCAGTGGTTTTTGACTTACACTTGTATCACCTGTCTGAGATGTACATGGAGAAAATGGATCATTTTCTTTTTTGGACCAGCCTATCAATTGTATTTCCTGTTCATCTTTTTCAACAGGAATGTTTGACCATATTTGGAACAGGAACACCTGGAGTGACTCCTGCATTGAAGATGTGTTACGGTGGCTATGGCACGCCATTACTTCTCTTGTAAGGCATTGAGAGAAACCAAGTCGTTGATGGTCACATTTGAATATTATACATAGCACTATGTTCAATAATATGAATAATGAATCCTATTTGTGGTGGTAGACCCTTGGAGTTTGTATGCTTAAATTGTTTTTTGAAAGTTTTATACATTTGAAGACTTTAGTCGTGGTTTAATTCTCAATAGTGGCACAAAGACTTTCTGAAGTAGTCTTTCTGAAGCACAGAGATTCTTGGAAATTGCTGTTGATGTAAATGGTTGTGTAACGTCACCTCAGGTCAGCTTTTCTCTTTAAAATTCCAGTGTCCTTAATAATACTGAGAAGATTCCTGTGAGCAACTGCTCTCTGATTATCTTACAAACAGCTACCATTGAATACTGATAGAAGGTGGTTGTCATGGAAATTTCCTATTTCTTGTGTTGCTTTTGATCTCAATCTTAGATTGGAAGAGAATGGAGTGGTGACTGATTGTAGCATCAAAACCTTGGAACCTGAGGAAACGCTAGACTTCAACTTCAGCGGCGCAAATGTCATCAATAAGATCATCATGAAGGTAGGAGCAAGATGTCAGAATACCTTCGTCAGAACTGGTGGAAATCCATAACATGGCTGTCACTGGAAGATATTTGTCCTAATGATGGAGATTAAATGCATGCTTTTTTTCAGTCGGAGTGTTTGAAGGACGCTTTCCAGGAATTAGACATGACTAGTGAGGTCTTAGAGATTCTGATGTCACCTGACAAACCTTACTTCAGACTCTCGACATTTGGTAACGCGGGCAGTGCCCATGTAAGTTTCTTTAGTCAGTATTTAAGGAAGATACACATTTATCTCATCATTGGTAGCTTGGTAATCCTTGTGTAAGATTTATCAATTATTCACAGTTTTGTTCTCTTTTTTTCATTTCAGTCAGATTTCCCCAAAGACTCTGACCTTGTGGAATCCTTCCAATGTACACAGACACAATCAAACAGGTGAAGTTGAAAATGAGTAATAAAAGTGTTCATTTATTGTACATTTGGGACAATTTACAAGGTTTTAAATGACTTCTGATTCCGGCTATTGAAACAAGTTACATTTGATATTCCCGAACAGACCAAATACTGCCCTCTACAACTCATGCATGAAGCCATTGGCCATAATATTTGCTTGCCTTCCATTTGATAGGTACAAGTTAGTCCTGCTCAAACCAACAATTAAAGCCCTCATGTCATCAACCAAGGTCTCCATCAGAACAGATAATCGTGGTTTCCTGTCTCTGCAATACATGATCCGTAACGAGGATGGCCAGATATGTTTTGTAGAATATTATGTAAGTAGGCTTGGTCAGAGACTGGCTAGAGCTGAACGTCCACTTGATCCAAATTTTTTCCAAGCAGTGTTGTATACGATCCCTTTCAATTTCAAAGAGTTTACACATAAGCAAGTCAAAGATTTTACACACCTGGGATATTTTGGGTACAGGTCAGAAGGGTTGAATGATACAACTTCCAGATACGTATTGATTCATTATAGCCTCCGAGAGTTCAACATGAAATGGCTTACATACTGAACAGTGCTGTTTTTTTTCATTAAGGTCTTGAGAAGATCAGTATGTCCAGTCAGTGATGACACCCATTAGTTACACTGCCTTTGGCTGTTGCTAGCTTCAAAACATTTTGAACCACTTAGCCAGGCACTCACTGTTGCTCTATATTTGTGGCTTTGATACAAACACAAAAAGAACACTGATCTAGTCACAGCCTCCTATAACCACCAGTGGCATATCACAATGAATCCAGAACCTAGGAATTCCAAAGTGGCAACAACGATTTTTTTCATTTCTTGACTTGATATTTGTGATTGTTTTTCTTCTCTAGTGTGCCCCTGATGAAGAACAAGAGGAGGACTATGACTGAGACTTTGATATCTTCCTCATTGCCTTCATCTTGGTCAAAATGGCTTAGTAATTGGCCTTGTCTACTGGTCACAAGGTTAATTACATGTATACTTTGATGGTTGTCTGTACGTGAGAGGAGATGCGACCTTCAAGTACTGCAGTGGTCAAGCAACTTGGTGGTCAGAGTTCACATGCACAATTGACCACAACAGAAGAGTGACCATTCTAAATGGTGGCCGGAGTCCAGGTGTACAAATGTCCACTGGTCACCACTGGTACCACCTTCAGCTAAGTTGCCATTGTCGAAGTTGTAGCACTTGACAGGCATTTTGTCCAGACGTGGGTCAGCATTATTCATCGCCGTCGTGGTTCTTTGACCTGTACAACATACCGTTGGGCCACTTTGAGGGCAGGTGAATAGCCATCAGCATAGGAGTTATCCTCAAACAACACGTTGTAATCATCCATGGGCTGAAATAAAGACATACAGTTAACCATCACTGTACATCAAAGCAGTGCAATCATGCCTGTTTAGATAGTTTTACTTAAGTCCAAATACTGTCAATAGCCTGTGTTTCTGGATACCATGAGCTGGCTACGGAAGATTTCAGAAATTGGAATGGTAGGAACATGAACCTGTTCTGAATAGAAACACTGATTACTCCTAGCAAGCACAGCCTAGGAGCACCTGTTCTACCATAAGACCCAATAGGAACTCCACCGGTTTCCAGTCTGAATGCATCTTCTTTAAATGAAATGTTTACAGACTTATGAACTACATGCTGTGCTTGGAGGTGCCAAATGCATTCTCTCCTAAAAGACCGACTTTTCTGAATTCGTCCCTATTTGTCATCATTTCAATGAGTTTTCTACCATACTAATGCTTACCCCTTCAGGGGGTGCATCAATGAGCGCTCTGTAGAAGCATGTTGTTTGTGGATACAGGGCCATCACCAACTAGAACAAGAAAACAAATCAGACATTCATGTTATCAATCAACGTGCAATTCCTGAAACCCAGACAGATTATGAAGTTTGCTACTCAACTTAAAGATTGAGATTTCAGATTTCTCGTATGTTTCAGAGTACTCAAAGTGAGGTGGAGTGAATCCTTTATTCACGTTTAATGACTGAACTGTTGGCTAGAGATGGTATCAGGGCATTTATTAGGTACAATGTAAATCAAAGTTAAGATGGGAAGTCATCAAAATTTTCTCTGTTTTAACATTATTTTCAAGTGCCAATAAAACATTTCTAAGAGGAAAACTTGCTTGCAGTTCTAAGTTCAAATTGGAACCTACCGTGCCCTTCTTGAAAAGTGCCTCAGGGTTGGTCTCTGGGTTTGCTTTCATCAGCGGCAACGGAACAATCCTCCTCTTGGACAACAAGTGACGTCTGGGAGTAAAAGTACATTGAAGATTACCAAGAACATATTAATGAACCTCAGTAATGGTTGATTACGACAAATTAAAACCCTCCCCCAAAAATAAAAAGTCGATAGTTCTCCATCTTGAAATTGTGCCCTTAGAAAGTCCCACTTCTTACTCTTTTCCTTCTTCATCGATGTCATCCACTTCATATTTATTGGTAGCAGGGTTGAATGATACCACTTCAGCTAGAATCCAGTTCTCATCACCATCGATACCTTTGACCCGAGCAGCAACCTTGTCCCCAGGTTTGGCGAGGTAGTTATTCTCTGCTGGGACGGCACCACACAGTGCTGGTGGACTGCAGGGATGGCAAATATGAAAAATAATCGAAATTACCTCCCAAATTGACAGAGTATTTGCAAGTATTTACAACCACTGATGTTGCAAAACAAAAAGTAAACAACAAATGCTTACAAAATGCTGTCTATAAAAGACAAAAATTATTGGAATAAGCAGTAAAAGAAAACGTTAAAGATTTATATCAAAGAAAGGCTTAAGAACATGGTCCACACTTCGATGTAGTCTGTAGATTTCTCAGGCCCAAGACCTCTTATGACCATGTGGTAAGGTATCTACCTTTCCCCTGGTCGACCAATCCACAACGGTAATGTTAAAGCTGCTTGTTGTAACATAGTCATCAGTACTCCTCTTCTCATCGTCTTCCTCGGCCCATCAGCGTCTGTATACAATCCAGCATTCTTGGCCTGTAGACGCTGCTCATTTCGTACCGCTTTGATGTCGGCTATTTTTTTCAAGGCCTTTCGAAGTATCCTGTGATTTGATGAATAAAAAACTGGCTGAACCGATTTTGGAAGACAGTACAAAATTGGAAGTTAAGCTTTGAAAGTTTAAACTCGTTTTCAAATGGAAAACTTTGAATCAGAATGGTTCTAACAGAGAAATACTAGTTCTATTCTTGAGTGAAAGATGTTTGAGTTTAGGATCAACTCATTTAATGATTTTGCACTGAATTAATTGATCCTGGCTGTAGCAAAAGGTGGTATTTTTGTCAAGGGCTATAGACAGTCACAAGTATGAACAGGTGGCAAGAATGTCCTAGCCATAGCCATAATGTCTGAGTCGAACAAAGCCATACTCTGCCTCGCTCTCTGCCTCAGTTACAGCCGACTGATACAACGTTCTCAGTTTGGACTTGAAATATGGCGAGATCTTCCCCTCCGAGTGCATGCGCTCATGAGTCTTGTTGATGGTCTGAAGTGTCTGTTCGCTTTTCGCCCTCTCCATTTGAGTTTCTTTGACCAATCGGTGTAGTTCTTTCAGCATGTCTTGGATAGAGGCACCTGCATCTGTGATAGCCGCATGGGCCTGCAATTCACAGCAAATTCAAATCATGTTTAGTTGAGCTGAACCTAGCAAGATGTCACACTGACCCAATCCTATGAACCTGTTGATCTTGGCAGAGAACGAAAGACCTTTTGTCCAAAATGCTGCGTACTACTACAACAAGTAGGCTTCATGGATAGATTAAAGTTCTTGGATGAAAATAGCAATAGCAAAACATTTCATTTCTCCTAACTCTACAACACCATGCACTACTTTTGAAGAACCTCGGCACCAAGGTCATGGTGGTATGGTGTTGAGTAACTAATGCCCATCTACAGCACTGTCCCAACTATAGTTGGGCTGGACCCAGCTACATATATGTGTATACATAGAGTTGACACTGATACTATAGCTGGGATGTAATAAGTGCACTGTGTCGCAGTCAGATCTCAGTGATCAGGCATGCAACTTGGACTTTGACAAAAAATGAGGAAATTCCAATCTTCACAAGGCTTTGAACAATGTTTTTCAATTTTCAACTGCATGAGTGTGAAGTGAAAAATGAGGAAATCAGCTGCTCCGAGGAAAAGTTGCATGCTTGATTGACTTGGCATTCTAACACCACAACAAAAGGTAACGAGACAGTACCCCCAGAACTGTTGAGCTCGACATCTGCCCTGCTTGTGGGAGCAGAACGGACGTTGGACTCCACAGTTCTGAGGGGTACAGACACAGTGGATTGGTCAGGATCACAGATTGTCTTGTTTCATTATCTTCATCCCAACATCTTGTCTTCTTGTATCATTCTCCATGCTGTCCTTACTTGAGCAGCAGGTGATGCAGCAGCACCCTGTGCAGACCCTGTCGTCTTCTCTGCTGCAGCTGCTGTTGTTGTTGCAGATGTCATATTCTTGTCAGCAGAGCTTGATGCAGGAGCAGTACTAGTAGATCCTCCAGAGGTAGTAGATGGAGCAGACTTAGCACGCCTCATGCCTATCTATATGATCTGCTGCCGACTGATTCCTGAATGGATACAAATTTGTCTGTAGGCCCAATGTGTGTGACCATACAGTCGCCAGGTCCCTAATTTCACCACTTGTCAAGTCTGATTGGTTTTTGCAGTAGGCCTAGGTCTAAGACTTACATGGAAAAATAAGGGACCTAGCGACTATCACGTTATTTCAAAAATAGCAAAAATGTTTTAAAATTGTCCACACATTATAATAACATGCATATGACATAATGAAAATATTTTTGAAGCGCATTATACTGCAACTTAAACTCAAAGTTGCAAACCAAAAACTAAAACACATATGGCGCATCAATTAATTTAGTAAAATTCCTCAACAATGCAGAGCATTGCCACTGATTGCTGACCACTTGGAATTTTTATTTTTAATGAAAACAATTACCCCATAAAGCGTTGCCACTGTAACAACAGATCTGATACTGGGTCTATAAATAAACTGGTAAATGGGAAAAAAAGCTCACCAGTCGACAAATGGCTTAAAATTTCAAAATGACGGAAATTAAGGCCTGTGCTTTTCCATTCTTTGTTTAGATGATGATCAGCACTATACGCATGAAGTGCATGTAGACAGATAACCAGCTGCTATCGTATAACTCCCATATGACAGATACGTTCAGATAGACAAAAACGAGTCCAGGTACTCGATGCCTGAATATTTTCAACCTCGTAAGAAAGCGAACGATTTCACGATGGATTTACTCAGTAAACACAATTTACTGTAGTAAACGTCGACAATTGCATTACTGGGGACGAGATTCATGTGGTCCAACATTAACTAAGTGTCGTTAACTCGCTAAGCGCTTTGCGCGTTCGCAAAATTTCTTGTTGAATTCTTATTTCCTGACCTACCCGTGCAGCACTTCCCCATATCCAAATGCACGTGAACGACGACATTCGGGTAACATTCAAGATGGGGCTGCTACTAGCAAGTGTTGGCTCCGCGTTTTTCCCGCTTGTTTACTTCACTTTACGGCAAGTTCTGAAGAAACGGACAGCGCATCTTGCCAATTCTGCCGAACTGGTTTCTGTGGTGGCGATGAGGTTGGTTATTGACTGGATTTGGGGGGATGATTTGGGGGTGAAACAGTGAAAGGGGGGAACGCTGGATTGCCGTTGCAGAAGTGTAGACTAGATAGAATGTGAGCACGGGAGTTCGTGAGCTTTACATGCATGATGCCTGGATGTTCATGGTTGACGAGGAAAGATCCAGAACTAAGTATTTTATGGGGGGGGGCAAACATGGCAAACATTTAGAGAATTTGTAAAATGTAACCTTGCCATACCTGCTGAGCACCACGGGCTGTTATCTTAATGTTTGCTACCTCTCTCTGCCTACGCATGATGGACAAAAATGCCTAGGATACTGTTTTACCATTAATGTTTTAACAAATTGTTGGTGGGCATGGTGGGTGTCATTTCATTCATGTCTGTATTTTGTATGTTAATTTTTTAATTTTTTATTTCAGATTTGTTTGCCCCCAAATTGCATGTTTTTCCATTTTTCTGTGTAGGTGCTTTCTGTGATTTTCTGTGCATGTCTACAGACCTACATGCACTTCTCCATTTGTTATGTTTGTACATGTAATGATGTACATGTTGCCTAACGTCCGTTACCGTCAGACCGTGTAGCTGCCAGGTTCCTTACATGTATTTTGCCATTTACTACGAAAACCAATCACAATTGACAATAAGTGGTGAAATTGGGCACCTGGTAACTACAGTATATGGTCAGGGACGGCAGAGATCTTTCAAGTAAACCCAGTCCCCCGTTGTGACGTTCTTTCTAACGTTTTTGTATTTCCAATCTTTAAGGTCATGATAATTTTGTTACAGATACATTGTTGGTACATGTGCATTTTATTTTGAAAAGGACGGACACAAAGAGGAAAACAATGTTAGTAAAATATTTTGATGTACCGGTTGTCACACACATCAGTTTTGTTCAAGCGGAGATCTAATTTTTAAAATTTATGTCGGTGATTTAACCCATTTTGCAAGTACTAGCTAAAAGTTAATATGAGTTGAGTGAAGAAAAAGGAATACATGTGTGCATTCCCTGCCGTGGAAACAGTTTATGAACTTTATCAGACATATACATGAATTGGTTAAAAATATAAAATCCGTATTATATTGCGTTTGCCACTTATTTTGGTGGTGCAACACAGGTACATCATGTAGTTCCGATAAGGGTAAAATTACAAATCAAATACATGTAGTATTACTTTTGTGCATCAGGTTTCATGTCTAGAATTCATGATGTTTATGCGCAGCGCCTTTCTTCTAAACATGGATCGTTTTGATTTGATGTGTTGATAATCATGCTCAATGATTAAAGATTGAAGAATGTACATGTAATAGGTGAGCAGTTTTGCACTCTTTTCTTCATTGGTTTGATAAATGAAAATCACCTCTCAGTTATTGATGATTTATAAACAACAGCATAAGGAAATTACTGGAGTTAGAACAAAGTATACACATATTGACAGGGTTTTAAAATTGTGTCTATCTCGAGGTTATTATTAATTCATAAACCTTACGAGACTGAACACTGATAGTCACGTCCATTCTGCTAAGCCGGTCTTAAACATTGACTCCCTTATTAATGCTAACAGTCCCAAATCCTCTAATTTCAATATGATTTTACATACACCCTAGGGAATTAGGGTTCAAGCTCAGGGTGGGTATGTTGCATTGGACGATGATAGGGTGTTTTCATCACAAGGTGCCTGCATACGGTGCATGACACGTGTGGATGCACGCAAGTCAAATCGTCTCGTATTTGCTTAAAATTGTAAAATCATTTCTACCGTACATGTATATGCATGACTGTGCAAATTTGAAAAGAGAGACATGTACGACCCTCAATATGACAAGTATATGTACACTATACATGTACATGTGTCTTTAGTGTTTATTAATGATGTTTTTTTGTGATATACATGTAAGCCATACTCCTTTTCAAAAGTATTGCTTGCCAGCAATTTTGGACTAACTATGCATTGTTCAGCTTTTCCTTCCCTTTCCCCCAAGAGTCTACTCAATATTAAAACAAAAGTCACTTCATTATCAACTTCACAGATAATAATGTCAGTAGACCGTATTCACAGCTTCCCCAATTTCTGTTGTATTCCTGAACGTACAGTATAAATTTTAAACCTGTAATGGGATGGTACCAGGTTATTTGGGGGGTCGGAATGAAATTGTAGAATATAGTCTGATTCTTTGAATATAACGTTTTCCAATAAATACACTTCCTTGGGTAATTCGACTGACATTTGGGCACGCCGTGAATACAGTCAATTGCGCCCATTCTTTCATTTTTTTGAATGGGACAGGTTTCACAGTGAATTGAATTGTCTTTAAGCATGCAAGGAACAGTAACATACAATGCGAGTAGAGTGTCCCATGAAAAGAATAGAAACAGAAATTTGTGAATATTAGTTTAGTTTGGTTTCCGTTTGTTGGATGTACAGTACATGTACATGTAAGTCAACCCTCTGTGTATGCACACATGACCTTTCGCTCCAGGAAATACCAATTTTATTTATACATGTACATTGTACGTACATGTACATGTACATTTGGGATGTGTGTGGTGATGAGGTGAGTTTGCATTCACATGTGCACCCTGTCCACACTTACATGTAATTTAAAGAATAATTAACCTTAACCCTGACCCTCCTCAATCCTTCACCTGTTGGAGGACTGAGGAGTGTTAGGGTTAATATTCCTGAATCCTCCTGTTTTGATATGATTTTGCACTCACCCTAAGGAGTTAGGGTTAATGAGTACAGTGAAACACTTAAAAGTGTTTGAACATGTAATGTACATGTACTGGAAATATGTACTGTACCTGTTGCTGTTTCTAATTGACTGTGCATGTCGAGATAGTCTGGTACCGTGCTAAGCAACTTCTTGCCTGGAATTTAGAGTGCCCTGTGTGATGCTGTTTTCTTAGGATCATGGACAAATATTTCATGGGCTGAAAAAAATGGTCAGTGGGCATGTGAAACCATACCCATGATCCTCGGACACAAAACTGGGGTGAAACCCCCATGTGACCATCGACTGGGACTTATGTTTTCATGAGTTTGTGTTTAACCCTACCCACCAAGCATATCATTTGGCTTACAGTACTCAGTGCTACAAAATACTAAGTAATAACCTTAGCCTGAAGGACCTAGCGCTACAGATTACTACTTGTGGCTAGGTTGCTTCCATTGTTACTTGTACAGAGAACAGTAAAGCCATGCATTCATAGTGCCACAGCACAATATAGTACATTGTCCTATCCATTGTATTTATGGCTTCAGAGAACAATAAGGTCATGTCCTCTTACAAGCGACAGCGCTGATTACTACATTTTACTACAAATAGTAATTTGTAGTATTATGTAGGGTTAGGGTTAAACTGCGTGTACATGTCACACAGTTGCTTTTATGGGAGTCTTTTTCAACTAAAATTCCCAAACAATACATGTACTTGTCTTTCCTGTTGGTTTATAATAAAGACAAACCAGCCCTTCCATGATGACAAATTCAACAGCAATCAGAAAAACATATGCTATGCAGACACCTGCCTTACGAAAGCATATCAAGGAATTCACACATTTTACAATACACTATCTGGTCACAAAGCTGACATAATATTGATTTATTGATTATTTATTAGGTTGACATCGTTGCTGCAAGCGGTGATGTCATCTCTGGCTGGCTTCATAGCTATTTGCTCATGCAACACTGACCTGGTAAATGATAGGTAAGTACAACCTTTAATCTGAATAAAAGTCTTCATTTCAGCAGAGTAGAGCTGACAAAAATTCCTCTTGGTTTTCACAATGTAAACCCAGGCAGATGTACATATGTATGTCACAGAAAAATTCAGGTCATTTGCATGATTGATAAGCCTACTAGTACACACATGTACATTATGTCAAATTGCTCTATTTTTGGCATCTTCTCCTGTTGCTCATAGATTCAAGTTGGGAATCAATGAGCCCGTTCAGAATTTTAAAAGCCAAGGTCTTTCGGGAACAAAGTACATGCGTGAGTCAGCATATCACTGTCCTGATAGGACAGACTACTGTGCGCGTGTAGCTGTTCCCGAATAGCCTTGTACTGGGCATGTGCTATTGGAATACCCAACTGCCACATTGTCATTTATCTTTCATGGTTATGGTCACATGCTGGTCCCTGATTAAGTTTCCTGGAAGGACTCCCCAAAAGTTCAAGGTTCATACATTGATTCACTTACACTAGGCTCTTTGTCAGCTCATTCCTATTTGTCCTTTGTGGCATACACAATACATAATGTTGTGACCCTACCTACTGTAGGACCTGGGAGACTTTAGTCTTAAACTGAAATGGATCAGAAAGTAGAAACTGGCTTCACATGACCGCCAGGAATAACAGGAATAGTGGAATGACTACATGTACCGGTAATTCCCCCCCCCAAAAAAAAAAATTATGTCTTTTAAATAATAATTCCAATGCATCATTGTAGGAAAGAATATTCAACTTAAATATAAACTTCCCCAAACTGAAATGTTTTACACTTGCACTTTGACAGACTTACATGTTCATGCGTAATTTTGGGTGTGCACCATTTTTGTTCCATTCTGTCTTGGGACCTTGTAGTCAGAGATGTATAATCTAAACATGACCCCTCATCTAAATCCAACCCATCCATTTTGGTATTTACATGTGAGGACACTACATGTACAGTCAAGTATGAAAGGTCAAGTGTATTTCTGTCAAGCACTGAGGGAGATGTGAAGCTTGTACACACGTAATTCTTTGGCTCCGGTGAAGACAAGAGTCAGAAATTCTGTTGCAACCAAACCAACCCACACAGTTTTGCATTTTCAATGCTCCCTTTACAATTAAATTATGCAGGTGGTGCATAACAGTACCGCCAGCAGCACTGCAGCATCATTATTTCATAAGGCCTGGGGGTAAAATGTGTGTGGCCACTCATCCACAGTACTGAGATGTACTAGCTCAGTGTGCTGCATCATTGAAGCACAGAGGCCGTTGGACTTCTACTTAATTGTCCCATTCTGACCTTTGTTGGAACTCGAGAGACTTACACATACTGGAGATACGGACATGTACTTTGACAAATGAATGAATGTGCTTTCAAATACCGTACATCTGTCCAAGTTAATGAACTTTGTGAATTCACAAAACAGACCAGGGATACATCATGTATGTGTCTGATATTATTTATGAAATTGTGGTTTGCGAGAAAAACAATTGAAGTTTTCGTTTTTTTCGGTAGTTGCACCAAGCAAAGTCACTAGTTGTAGAAATGTGTTAGTCATATTTTTCTATTTTGCCTGGAATTCCAAAAGACGTCATTTTCCTGTTTTACTTTTCCCCTCTACGATGACATCATGTGGAAATACTTTTGGTACAGAATTTGTCATGTGTGTACCGTTCGTTCGTTTTGACTTATCTGATAAATATGTTGTTACTCTGATACTGCCTTCTACTAAATCTACTTTTATTTCCTCTGAACTCCTTCAATTAAATAAGTCCCTGGTGACTACTGCATCCACATTGCTCATCCCAGTTTCCATGACGCCCAAGACTTTTTTCTTAGAGAGTAATCAGTCTCCCTGCTGAGTCAGACACCTATCATTCATCACATACTGCCAATGTAGGGCATGATTCATGGACGGTGGCGGACGCCTGCCAAATGTACTGTACATGGTGGCTCTATATATTAATGAATCACCTACCGTACTTCCCCATCAGTAGAGGCATGAAATTTAACAATATGCCCTGAAAATCATCATATTATGTACCACCTGACACTAATGCACCATCTTGTCTAATGTATGTTTTCCTCCGGGCTGAACTTTGTAAGTTCAGTGAAATACCGATATGTACAACAGGGTTTGGATTTACAATGTAGGAACACTTGGGTCCTTTTGTGGCAGTCCAAAAAAAATAATTCTTCTTGGTGTTTAGCAGGCCAGACTAAATTGATTGATTACTTTTCTTTTGTGAGCATTGTCTGATCAAAGCCCGGGACAATTGCTGCATTTCCTCTTTGCTGGACAGTTGATGGAGAGGTGAACCCTTTGTGCCTGACTCAGACGAGCCAACATGGCCAAGGAGATGTTAATGAAGCTTGTCTGTGGGTTCACTAAAACAATGGCAGTTGGAAAGCGGCATATCTGTTATATCCATTGCCTTCCCGAAACATTGAGTCTCACTTACAAAACAGATCTTTGACACATTCATGCATCAATTATCATTTCAAATATTTTAATATTTCTCAGCATTTGAAATGCATTGCAAAGTGTTTATTTCACGACCGAGGATGGGTACCCAAAAAAATCAAAAGATGGAAGTAATTGAAATTGACGAATGTTTTATCGACATTTCTCCTAACTTGAACATACTAGACTTAAATTTAAATTGAAAAGAATTTAAATTTGTTATTTTTGTTCTCTTTATGTACACAGACACTGGATTATCAATGCCTACACTCACTTCGGCCTGCCGTACATGCTCTATGACATCGTGGCAATGTGTGAGGCCTTCCGTCAAGAGAACAAACATCTTTTACAATCATCACTCCTTACGGCAGTTGTGGAATTTGTGAAAGATCACTGGCTGATGATACTTCATCACTTAGGTCTTGCCTGTATATGTCTACCCATTCTCCTGGTGAGTCATTTCAATTACGTGTAGTTTGTTTATTGTTGAATTGAAAAATGTTTAACAATATGGGAATACTTGTATAATTGCCCAATGCATTTTTAATGAAGTCAACTTTGGATAGAAAGTCAAACCAAAATGCCTCCTCTGTTCCTTTGCAGTTTTTCCGTAATGACAAAGGCGATTTTTTCATTGGCTGTATGTTTATGACTGAAGTCAGCACACCCTTTGTCAGCTTAAGGGCAATTATGAGAAAGGTAAGCTGCTTATCTAGGAAAAATACTGTTTTAGGCTTTTATGTACAGTGTAAGATACATCTAAGTCACACTGAAGTTGGTCTAAAGTAGTGGAGATCTGTCTTTCTACTCTTGAGTCCTGGCTATTTTGTTGTTGACATTAATATAAAGGTTTTGGGATTTTTCTATTGGGAATTTAATGAAAAGACACCCTGAATCCACAAGTGCACCTCTGGTGTAACCGACTTAACCCTGACCATGCTGAAGCCAATAAGATTATGCAGGATTTCAATGGTCCCTAAGGGGTTAACCATGCTGAACCCAACAAGGTTATGCAGGATTTCAATGGTCCCTAGGGGGTTAACCATGCTGAAGCCAACAAGGTTATGCAGGATTTTAATGGTCCCTAGGGGGTTAACCATGCTGAAGCCAACAAGGTTATGCAGGATTTCAATGGTCCCTAGGGGGTTAACCATGCTGAACCCAACAAGGTTAACCGACTTTCATGTTGCTGTTGAATTATGTTCACTCAGCAGGAATCAGGTGTTAAGGGATCTCACCTTTTTGGTTTTCTGTGTTTTTCTTTGACAGATCAAATGGGACAAGCAGTACCCTAATCTGTTCCTCTTTGTCAGCGTGATGCTTCTGGTGACGTTCTTTGTGTTCCGTATCCTAAACTTCCCTTTCATGTACTGGATCTACGGCCGTTCCATCGGCGTGTCCGTCTGGGAGGTTCCTGGGCGGATATTTGTCAAATGTAACGTCATCTCGGGACTCATCTTCCTCTTCCAGTGTTACTGGTTCTTGCTGATTCTGCAAGCAGGCGGAAGGATGTTGAGCAAGATGTCAAGCAAACCGCCCAGTCATCTGGAGACCAACGGCGTGATGCACAAAGCACACTGAGATCCATCAGCAGTGCAGGCGTGTTATAGTGTCAGTTCTTACAGGGTGAGTGCCGTGCATCTTGCCAACTGTTTCACTTCACAAGCTGCAGCCAAAGTGTATGAATGTTTCCTGTTCCCTCTGGTTTCATGTAAACTTGTAGTAAAATTTGCCTCAAAGGAAAGTACTTGGCTTTCCAACTTTGATCTGCTCATGCCAGACCAGTCTGTCAGCACACAGTTATTGCAACATCCTATGAGAGCAGTTACGTTGTAATATAGGGGGTTTCTGTACTAGTTTTTATGTCTCAGCTGAGAGGTCTGCTTTAATGGCTCGGTCAACATTGTACTTTCTGATGGTGAGAGGGAGAAAGTTACTGTAGGGGGAGGGCATGTCATGTCCATGCCTTTTAGGTACACATTCTTGTTGATGTGCAAGTGAACCTGTTAACATAAACCAATATCATTCAGCTCTCTGAACTGGTCTCTCAAAAGGCCCCTTAACAGCCCATTATTGGCTATTTTGATTCCGCAAACAGCTTTTGAATTTTGAAAAGGAGCTTGACAACATCCTTGATAACCAGATGCTAATCAAGCCGTTTTATTTTACGTCAGTTGCAATCAGGACATTAGTGATTTTCACCAGTGATCCCTTAATCACATTCGTTGTCAATTCCTGCACTTGTAAGATCTTAGACACCAGTTCCAAAGTTCGTTGACTGCACATGTCATCAGCATCAGATGCCAGTGATTAGTACATTGACCCACGAAAATGTATATTCTTAAAAGCATGGTATTACATTTGGGAAGCTTTTCCAGTCATTTGAGGAAGATCGCAATATTACATGTGCGTGGATTTGTTTATGCAAATAAAGTAGCGTTTACCATAGCAGGGCCATTTACTGTTAACGAATTGTAAGTTTCAATCCTTGTTCTATTGACAAGGAGGAGAGACTACTGTCCAAGTCTGGTCACATGATGCCAGCATGCCTGATGGGAATTTTGCTTGACCTACACCGGTACATGTAGAGACATCACTTGTCATCAGACTGATAAGAATTTGTTGGGGGAGGGGCTTTTATCACCTGCATACATGTGTTGGACAACTGTATTAAAAAGAAGAGGTGTTAATATGTGGACACATTATGGCTGTCAGTGTAAGAGCACCCTTCTTCCTGTGAGACTGTGAAAGGTTCTATTTTTGGAAAACACAGACATTATATGAAAACAAAGTCACAAAGAACGTTTTTTAAAAAACACTAATATATTGCACATGTGAATTGTCACCTGTTGAACGACGGTAAGTTGAAATGGTTTCTTCATTTTGTGTTCTTGATACTACTTGTGCCAAGTTGTGTGTGTATTTCAGTGTATCTGAGATACTTCCTTTATTCTTCTCTTTCTATTGCTAAAATAATAGAGAAAGGATATCCCTTTTTTTTCCCTCAGTAAATATCCTCTTCTTCCTTTTGATTGTAAATTGAATCCAAGAGGTGAGACCATGGAGAACAAACAGAAGACTTACAATAAAAACATTGCATGTGGTGCATTGTTGGTACACCTGCAATGATTGCATGTGGTGCATTGTTGGTACACCTGCAATGATTGCATGTGGTGCATTGTTGGTACACCTGCAATGATTTTTACATAGGGGTACATGTAATTCCAGAAATTAGGGATCCAAAAGTGTGACATTTTTGTGTCCTTGTTACATCTGACCTTTGTTAATTGACATGGAAATGTCACTGAAATTGATTTCAAACTATTACTATTTTTTTTGCAGGTAATTTGCATTAATTCATCACTCTTGGTAATTAGACAATGTGTTTGGAACTTACAAAATCAAGTCAGATGTAACAGGGACATGAAAAAAATGGATCCCTTATTTCTGGAATTCCCCATAGATGTGGTTTTCGTGTTTTCCTCTGTTTCCCCACATTTTTCATAGATCAGGAATATACATGTACTTGTAGTTTCATTCTTTACCCCATATGTGTATTTGTACATTTGATCCACGTTCATGTCTCTTGAATCAATTGTTAAAAAGTGTGTAATGCACACTCCTTAGGGGTGGATCCAGGAATTTTTCTAGGGGGGAGGGGTTCGGGCTTTCGATTTTCTTATAATGTCTCATTCTTTGCTGACAAGCAGAACAATGATGAGACATTATATGATGTTATATGATATTGTTTACAATGGTATTGTTGCATTTAGTGGTACTTCAGTTATTTTGCATTATTTTCCCCATTTTTTTCTTTTCTTGTTTTTTTTTAAGAGGGGTTTTTATTTTCCCCTGATGGCTTCCCCATCCGGATGGTTTGATGGCTTTAGTATTTTACATCCAGGCTTTGATGGCTGAGTTTTGTTCTATACAGAGAATGTGTCCTTGAGTTGATTGTGTTGCATTTGGCAGAATGTCCATGATGACATGTACCTGTAGAAGTAAGAACCGTATGTTACAATAATTTGTGCTGGAAAATGAAACATTTCTGAACTTTGGTCAGGTTTTGTTTAATCAACGTCTTATCAAGGGAGGTTTTCATGGCCAAAAGAGCATGTTAAATTACTAAACAAAATAGATAATAATAAGGCTGTGCCGAATAACCGAATATTTGATCTATTATCGAATATTATTTTTTGAATTTGACTATTCAAATGCAAAACTCATGAAAAGGAAGGGAGAATTTCCTTTTGTTTTAAATGAGAAAATTGCACAATGGAGGCATGTTTCAAGCAGATTCAAATGAAGAGTGACAGAAACCTTACAATGATTCAAAAATTATTTATTAAAAAATTTAAAAGGAATATACATTTTCAACAGGACAAGAAGTATTGTCCGTCTCTTAAAATTTGCTAAATCGTGGCTGGAGATACTTCTAAATGTGAGAAGCTCTTAAAGTGATTATAATGTACAATTAACAATTGTGTGCATTATTGCAGCTGATTTTGTATGTGGTTTGTTCCTCAACAAATTGCCAGTCGGTACGACTGAATATTCGGATATTCGATCAAATTGAAGATCGAATATTCGAATATCAAATTATCTGAAATGACTCAGTCCTAGCTAATAATCCATTAGTGAGCACATATAGGATCTCCACAGTTGAGACAGAAACAGAAAGCGAAGGTACCAGTTGAAAGAGATAACATTTTTTTGGGGGGGGGGAAGGATTAGGTACATTATCTCAGTGCTGAAGTACATATGCAAGTATGGCTTACACAGTCCAGTGTGGTTTTGTTCAGAATGTATCATTAAGTCAACCAAGAAAACTTTTTAGCAACTTACCCTGGAGACATATCTTGATGTACATTAAAGGATAAAAAGCATTTTAAGTAATTTCATTTCTCATTCAAAAGATTTTGCGTCTCGCATATTTGTTTTTGTTTTTTGGGTTTTTTTTAAATTCTTTCGTGAACAAATCTGAAGTGCGGATTGCCGTTAGAGATAAGGCATTATTGGCTAAGCCAGAGGCATTTTTAATATCAAATTTGATTTCACTCAATTGGAAAGAAAATAAAGTAGAAATCAATCCAATAAACATGCGCATAGAGTCACCTTATATCATTGCATTCCATGTCCATCATGCTTTGTAAAGTATGCAAGACTACCACATCACAACATCTTTCACTCTTTGCATGTCTGTATGGCATACTCACTGATGGTTTCAATGTTTGGCTTGCTGTTACATATTGTAAGACATCATTTGCTGGTGCTGGCAAACTAGCAAACGTAAACTGGAAGGTCAGGTTCCATGGAGATATTTTGTTAAAATTACAACCTTTAAAATTGACTCTCATTGAGCAACCTTTATCTCTCAGCCTGCGTCAGTTAACATCCCAAACATGATTCAGGCAGGTGTCTTGTTTAGTGGGGGGAAATTTCTATTCCAGTTCTGAGTACAATTTTGTGACTTGAGAAATCTCAGTAAAGAGACATGGGCCCAGTTGAGATAGGATTCTTGTGAAAGGGACACACATGGTTACTGTCACATTCTTGAGTATCTACCCAGAATTTTTTTGTAATATTTAAGACTTTTATATTAGCTAGAAGCCATTGTTCTTGGATGCAAAGTCGGTGTGCTTTGACATTTGGACTTGTATGAAATCCATCGTCTTACAAGAACTCACCTACATGTACATATAAATTTCATATTGCATTCTCTTTTTCCTGTATTCTGAGAATAATCGGCATTTATTTAACATTATACTCTGTTTAATAGACCAATTGTGCCCGCTAAGTCACATGACCTACATGTATAGAGAGTATTTAATATCAAGAAACGTGTCATCCACCGAAAGCAAAGTGTTTCATAAGTATCATTTACCAAAAATAAAGCCGACGGTAGATACCATACTCAGACTACTGATGTGCTGGGCACTACACCATAAATCAGCTTATATTGTTGGTAAACAACACTCAAACGTACTTTCTGTGGAAGTGATACCCACTAAAGAAATCAGTTTAATAGTGGTAATTTCAGTTATAGACATTTATGAAAGATGTCCCTGCATAGTTTGGGGAACGGAAATCTGGGCAAAAATCTTGGCTTCCAAAGTAATACAGAACTTACCAATAGTAATTCTCCTGATGCATGGATTGTATCTCATGGATATTGACAGTATTGAAGGCACTTTTGGTCAGGTATTTATTCAGAAGTCTGAAATGTTGCATTGTACCTTAGGGTTTCATCTCGGATTGAAATATATGCCAGTCTCTTCCCAGCCGGATTTAAAAACTACTGGTACTCTCCTGAAATCCCTTGGTGGTATCTGAGGAAAAAATGTCCTCTGCACCCAGTCTTTTGGAAGGAAATGTGTAAATGAAGGGAGGCAAATGTAAAAAATGGGGGTTGTAAATTTTGAGCAAGTAAAAACCACCTGACCAAATTGGTGTTTGCTTGTCCTCAGGATACTGAGACACTGTTTCACCTCAGAGAGTGTAAAATTGAAGAAAGCTAACCCAGTTTGCCTTCTACTACAAACTGAGTCATATTTTCACCCTCATATTTACTCACTGAATGGACATTGTAAAGATACTGGAAGGCTCAGGCTAACTGCTTCCAGGTTGAAGCATATTCAACTTACAAATTTCTTAATAAATTAAAGCCTCACCTGGGATACATGTACCTCATTTTGTGGACCTAGTTGGTACATTTTTATAATTTGCACCAATCAAACTAAAAATACAACTGACACATTCACATAATTAGAGGAAATTATTACTTTTTGCATTATTTTTGTAAGATACCGGTATTTAAAAGCTTTTACTCAGTATTTATAGGACGTGTTAATGTGTATGCAGTGTATTTTGTTATTATGAGCAGATGTAATTAGTAGTTTATTTATGTGGTCACTCTTCATTTTTTTAGAAGAAAAAGTAAACCAAAAGGTTTTAAGATTTATGTAAAATTCTTCCTGTTTCAATATAGGTTGTTAGCTTTACATTAGCCTTAATCCTTGCCTACAAAATACTGGTTTTTATTTTCCAGTGAGTGATAGCTTTGAACGAGAGCTCAAATACATGTCAAGTTTATTCTTTTTAATGATGAACTTGTTAATATTTGAAATCGATACCAGGAAATTTGTTTTGATTAAAGCCAACATGTACATTATATCATATCTCAATTTGTAATCTTTATTCACTCCTGAGTTTTTTGGTTATCACACTGTCTACTTTAATAGCTGATATTTAATCAACTCTTCCTATGTGATAACTACATGTAAACGCCTTTTGTCAAACATGCTGTGACACTTCATAATTTATTCCCTCTTGCATATTGATAGACATTTTCCTTGGATGTTCTCAGATTAATCAAGTGTAAGATATTGATCCCAGATGGGTGGAAACATTCAGCCTTGATTTGAAGGGCTTATTGAAATCCTGGCCAACGATTTCCTCCAGTTCTTTGACAATTATTCAAGGGTCAATTCTTATGTCTGAATTCTTTAAAACTTGTAATAGACACAAAGTTCATTTCTTGTGCACTTTAATATTTTTGTCTTCAAGACTGTCTTTAGTTAGTCACTAGGAGGACATCATTTAGAGAACTTTTGAGCTAAAAGCTGCTTTGGGCCTACCATATCCTATGAACAAATTAACTATCAAATATCATGCACTGTAAATAATTCAAATGTAGTTGCGATTCCTGGCAGGGTGTATGATTCTTAACGGTTACCATGTCAACCATAAATCTTTCATTGTGCACCTATGCTAGTTGAAAATGCCTGCTGGCTCAGGCTTCATTTAATGTGCTAATTCATAGAAAGCCGTGTCTAAATGTCAAGGCTGTGGCTTTAAGTAACACATGCTTCTATTAGAAGCCACTGACTAATGGCAGTCGCCACTTTTCATCAACAAATACCACTCTTAGCCATAGGCACAGTCAAATTTACTTATGGTGTGATTGTTATTGCTTGCTAAGCTAAGTCACATATTAGCTCTGTGTTGTAATCAGCAAATTGGCATCTGATGAGCCACATGTTAAGTGGTCAACAGTAATTATAGTTTAATTTGTTCAATCTTTAGTTCCTAAGTTTTATATACTTGAAGGTGAAATGTCTAAAGTTAATGTGGCTTGACTAGCTGCCCTCAAATAATGTGTCACTCCACTGTTGAATGAAATGTTTTGAAAATTGCAGACTTTTTGAAAGTTTCCCTTTTGTAATTGTCTGTATTCTCAGAAAGCAAATAAAACAGTGAGCAGTGAAATCTCTAAATTGTTGCCCATTGTAATGATTTTGGAGCACAGTATTTGGCAAAATGTTGACAGATTAAAACGCAAATTGTTTTTACCCACAGTTTGCTCTGTCGTTGAAGGGCATGCTGCTGGTATCTTTATGAATCTTGTGCCTACATGTAGGTAAAGGGACTGGATCATGATTATTGCAAACAATCCCTGGTAAACTTGCTAAATTTGATGTGGCACAGGGTGGGACACTAACAAGTTATGAAAAGAGATCTGAAAAAACCCCCCTCCCCCCAAATGGGATGGTCTGGTACGTGTATTCTTGTGGAAACTCCTATTCTTTGAGTACCCCCGCCCCCCCATCCCACGAGAAAGCTTTGTGGCGCCCTCTGTTGATTAACACTGAAACGTAAATATGGCCAAATTCCTTGGGAAGACTACATCATTTGGACGGGATGGAAACTTTTGAATGGGAAAACTTTCTGAAAGTGGCTTACAGGGATTGGTGTAATGTGCAGTCCTTGAATAAATTTAGACGAGCTCCTTCAAATGCAGAACGTGTATCGTTGTGCATTGGACTTGCAATTTGGAGGTAGGCCCAAGTCAGTTTCCTAGGCCTAATGTGTTGTTACTCCACTGCAGTGATTTGTACTGCATGTGTTTCGTGAAGAAAATGGAGAAATCATCGGACAGATTAACTTTTGAAAGAATTTCACAAACGAACTCCGCTTTAGATCCTTTGCACAAATCCTACAAGACTTGTCCGAAAACTTCCTCGTGTATTTTGAGTGAATGCTTCAATCTTTTCAGTACTAATTTTGACTGAGGCCTAATTTGACGGCATTTTATTGGTAATTTATTCATGACTTTTAAGTTTTAGGCATTGTCAGACATGCATCTGCAGATGGCCAATTACAAATGATGTCACTTCCTACATACAGGCTACAGATTGCCGCATTCATCGGCCATTTTTTACTCCAGTTTTCTTCGGTTGCCCCGTACTTCCAACATATTTGGATCAGCACCTGCATGTGCACGAGTTTAGAATATTTTGCACACTGCGTATACAGGCACCTGATAGCATTGTATACGCGGTTGCAATTTGCCAACAAAGATGGCGTCCAATGATAGAGATCTACAGTCATAAGTTACCATGGTCACTTCAGAGAAAAACTTGTGGCATCTGTATGGGGAATTCTTTCCAAAACTTTAGTCATTGACCTTAGTTTTGTTTACAAACATTGATTATGGAAACGTTGTATCCTGACTAAGCGGTTGTGAATGAAGCCTGAAATGGCGCTTGTGACAAAGCAGCAGAAAGGTCCGTTAAATATGAGTCCTTCACCCAAAATTTAATAAGAATTTTTCTCCTCAGTGAGTTCAGGAGTGCAGGGGGAGAATGGGACATACCTGTATTCGTCTTTATTATGAGAAAGAAATTTCAATCTAGATAACCCCAAATTAACATGTCCAACTACCACTAGCATCTCCCTGGCCTTTTTCATATTCTCCTGGTCAATCATGGCACTCATTCTCATGAAGCTTTTCAATGTGGTAATGCCTGTGGCTTTTCTAGTGATAAGAACGTGTGCAGGTTGATCAAGAGATGTGTTGAGCAGAGCTACATGGAGACAAGTGGCAAGTCGGATGAAGTGAGCAGATCATGGAGAGAAAAGGGAAATGAATTGTTTAAAGAGAGACATTATAATGAAGCTCTTTTGTGTTACACCCAGGTAAGGACATAGAATAAATCCTTTCCCCACCAGTTTCTTAACAATTACATGTACATGTATTTTCAACATCAACGACAATGAATTTTGAAAAATTGGAGAGCTTTGAAAAATGTTTTGCCCTTGAAAGTTGTCACAAGCACCAAGCCTAATAGTTTGAGTAACTGCAATCATAATGCTTATTGCATCCTAAAAAATTCATGGTCACCATCTTGCCAGGTCAACTGACTAGTTAAATTTAGATATAGATACAGTTAGATGCCCAGTGTATGAAATTTATCACAATTTTCACATCTTTTCAATGGAATTCATCAAATGGTCTGAAGTCTGGTTGAGATTGTTTTCATATATTTCCTCCTAGAGTGTTTTGACAGCGTCATGCAACATTGACAATGCTGATACATCCAACCGTGTAGAGTTGGCGATGGCATTTGGAAACCGTTCTGCTACCCTGTATCATCTAAACCAATATGAGGTAGGTTGATGTAGGATGAGGGAGTCGAGTCCATTCATAATGATGCTTTCTGTCATTAAAATGTGATTGTGATGAATACAATCTACTATGTCAAGCAACATCAGGATTGGGATTTGGGGAGATTTTAGATTTCGATAATGGAAGAGACTTTAATAACTGAGTGGATGATGTAAGGCTATTTGTATTTTGTCATAGTTGGCCCTTCAAGAGTGTGACCAAGCCATAAGTCATGGCTATCCTAGAGCTTCACTCCATAAGCTTCTACAGAGGAAAGGACTATGTCTCATGGAAATGGGTCAGCAACACTTAGCTACAATAGGTACAATTTATTACATTTGAGTCATCTGAAAACTTGACATAGTAAAAGGTCCAAACACCCTTATTGATGTCTTGTAATTTTTCAAAGAAAGTTTCTGAGAAAACTTGAATTGACCGTTGCCTTCTTCATTTTGTTTTGTAGTTTTGAGAGAAGCACTCTTGGCCTTGGATGAAGCAGTCAATTTGAGCTTAGAGAGGAAAGGTTAGTGTATGGTGTGTTTGTCAGTCTTGCTACATGTATCTGTCCGTTTGTCTGTTCAGCGACACATTATTAGTTGTCACAAATACATTTAACTAAAGTTCACCTTAGATGATTTGTTTTTGTCTACAACATCTCTCAGTTAGGATAATAAATTTGCTAATCTTTCTTTTCAGAATCACTGAAGTCTGAAATAGAGAAACTTCTTAACAACTGCACTCATCCAAGGTAGAGTGCAAATCTTGTGATTGTCAAACGCAAACATTTTCCCCAATTTTTGCAACTTTCCATTCTCTTTGAAAATTTTAATTAATTAATTAATTGTGCAATACTTTTAGACATTTTAAAAAACCTCAAGTCACTTTTAGAAATTCAGTTCCTCAAACATGTCTTCCAAAATTTCATACAAGTGAATGAGATATCCTTTGTTTCAGTGTAAGTGAGAATACAAGTGTCTCCATCAAACCTACTAAGCCAGAAGACCTGAGACAGTCATCAGACAAACTAGCTAGTGCATCAAGGTCTCTAGGACTACGGTTTAACCTGGACAGAGGCAGGTACTTGGTGGTAAGAATCTATCTGGTTGCTTTTCTTCTGATGAATCTGGAGTTAAGACTTATCTAAATATGGAATCATACCCTTCATTTCCATGTTGATCATGTTCAGTTCTAAGGAGAAAAGTGCTAAGCCAGGTATCAAGTTTATTTCCAAATAATGAACTTGTTTGGAGTGGAGTCAAGTTCTAAGGGGAAAAGTGCTGAGCTAAGTACCAAGTTTATTGCCAAATAATGAACTTGTTTGGAGTGGAGTCAATTTCGAGGAGAAGAGTGCTGAGCTATTGCCAAACAATGAACTTAATTTGAGTGAACAAAGTTCAAGAACATGGATTCATTGGAAGGTACATTCATAAAGGTAAGATTACAAAAAAATTCAGACTGTCGCATGTTGCATAAAATATTAAGGTTTTAAGACAAAAGTATTTAAAAATAAATTGGCTGAGTACATTTCCTCCTTTATATAGAACTTAATATTTTAGTCAAAGGTATTTGGCAATGACACTTGATAGAGAGCAGCGTGCATTCTCAATTTGAACTGATAGCACTCCTAATCAAAGGCTCCTCACATTCCAAGATTCTCCTGGATTGAATCAGACATGTTTGAAACTTTGAAATCTCACCACTGATCATACCCATTGTGGAATCTTTTCTTTTTCTGGTCAGGCAGATTTGCCGGTCAATGCAGGTGAACTACTCATCAAGGAGATCCCATATGCAGTCATCCTGTTACCAGAATACCGTAAAACCCATTGCCATTACTGCT